TTAATATTAAACAATAAAAAATAATCGATTATTATCGATATTTTTCAGATATAATCGATTTTAAAAAATCGTAATTTTTTTAATCGATTATTTGAATGTCGATACTTTTTTTTAACATTGCCCATCCCTAGCGGACAAGTTGACTGTTCTAACGCCGGTAGAAAGAGCAGGACGCAATTTACAAACGGCATCTACTCGATCACGCTCGAGTAACTCGCGGCAATGTTCGCGATACGCGACACTAAACACACGCTAAATTACCGAATTAGCAGCTTCACAATAAAGAAAGACACTCGTCTCACTAATTGATCGATACGCCACTCCCCTCGTCGGATCCTGGCTGCTGGAGGGCCTGTCGGGATCGTTGTCCTTAATACACAAAGCACACACACGTACTTTTTACGTTCTCCCGGGATCGCGGTGCAAAGAACAGTAAATAATCTGCACTTTGTAAATAGCCTACACGCGCACGTAAGATATGTTTGTTTGTACGCTTTCGATGCAGCCGTGCCAGGTATTTTTGCATTAAATATTTTTTATATTTTGAAAAAAGTTTTTCTTTTGTTACATTTTTGTGTTCTAGTCATAACTATTATAATCTTATTAAAGTACATAGTTATGTAGGTACTTAAGGACGTTCTCCGACTACAGTGGTTAGCAACCTAAATACAGTGGTTAGTAACCTAAAATATCTCTTCTTATGAGTAAGTTTGTACTGCTGTAACAAAGTTAAGTTGAGCTATTCAGCACTGCTAAGACTCGCTTACTCTGCGCAGAAGTTCAAAAATAGCTGCAGTACACATAAATCCAGCAAAACAAAAAAAAGACAAAAAAAAACAAAAAAAGCTACAGTTTGAATAAAAAGGTTGCTTGCCATATTATTCAAAATCGTATTTTAATTAGGACACTCTTCACTACCACATACTTGTTTTTTAAAAAAATTCTAAGAAAATTGTCGTCAGTAATTTTAAAAAACCCCACTTCACAAAGGCTCAACATAGGAAATCCATGTTAAAAATTGAAATATAAATTCTCCATATATTGGAATTTAACATTGCTACTCCTATTATCCAAAAAGGCTACGTATAAATAAGATCATAAACTATGTATATCGCAAATTTAAAGAAAATCAATAATTCGAAGAACGTCCTTAAGCGTAATATACGATAGTTGACTTGCATATGATAACGCGCTGCAAAGGTTGATTATTAATAAGAGTGTAAAGTATCAGTGAAAGGGACGCCTTAGCAACACTTTTAGTAAACTTTGCTCTTTGATTTGTGATTAGAACGTTATCAAATACGTGGCGATATATTTTCTAGTACTATTTTCATTTTTTTAGTTTTTTTATCGCCTATTACAATAAGAACGCGACATAAATAATGAGTCATGCAGCGCGACGTATGTAGTGCGATATTGATGGCTTATTTCTGAAAGATGCGATTTTAAAACATGATAAAATCATATACGGTTGTATTCAGCGTAACACATGCTATAACTTGTTTTTACAAAAATTTTGAAATTTGTGAAAAAAATAATAAGTCGTGGGGGTAAATAAACAAATGTTGAATTAAACAAACATTTACCTACGCGGTTAAAAAAACTATAAAAGACCATGTAACTTTTATTTAAAACATTCTTTTATATCTCTTACCGTTTTTACAACATTCGCATAAAAAGAAAAAACCGTTTTTTTGTCAAAGAGGTGTCACCTAAACGTGCAAGAAAGCACATAAAAAAAATACGAGTCTCTTATTTTCAGTTACTCTACAACATATTCAAAGCTCACAAAAATTGGAAAGGGACACGTGCGTCATTTTCCTTGTAAGAACATCAAAAATACATTGAAGTTTTTACTCATGGTTAAAACAATAATGTATAGATGATATATTATACAAGTTTATTAGATCCAGCGATAGAATTATTTCTCGGCATACGGTGTTCCTAAAAATTTTAAACCGGGATATCCTTTTTGCATTATTTTTTCCTTGATCGGCAGCTTCTTATATTTGTTTGCAGAATACTTCTACAAAATTATTTTCACAAATATACCTAAACCTGAGTCAAGTAAAAAACAGCTTCGAATTTGTTACCAAACTTCATAACACTTCTTTACATGACAATCACATTCTTTTATCACTTGACAACATTTCCCTCTTCACTAACGTTCTTATTGATCTGGTTATTAAAGGCATAAAAATCAGATAGAGGCACATTCGGGAAAAAAGTAATGATTCTATTAAACAAATTTTTGAAAATTCTCAAATTCACATTGACTTTCACTTATTTTATGTTTGACGGAAAAATTTTTCAGCACTTACTTTAGTGGAATCCTCTCTTTTTACTATTTGTTTAACAAGGAATGGTCTCAAGTTCAGTGTGGATTAACTAAATGTGATAGCAGATTAGGCGTGACTGAACGGTGTTGCAGAGTGGTTTGCAGAATAAATAATTATTCAAAGTGTATTATACCCCAAACGTTTCGACTATATTTCTAGTCATCTTCAGTGGGTACTACATATAAATAAATACATTAGATTGTGTATAAATACCTTATGTTGTAAACAATTCACATCTTATATTTGAGAGTTACGATAAAATACATCGGTCAATTAATAAAAACAAGTGGAAAACGTTAACATGTTGAATCAACGACCACTATGACCGGATTGATCGACAAGAAAAACATGTTATTAAAGGCGGATTCTTATCATAACGGTTAAAAGCTTTACCTTAATATTCTATTTATGAGCGGTAAATACCTCTTTTTACTATTGTTTCTGACATTGTTATGCATGACCTTGATAAATCAGTTCTCAAGAAATAAAAATTTAAGCCCTTTTTTTATTATCGCTGTGTTGATGATATAAGTTTGACAGCTCCTGTCGACCAACTACTACATCTGTTAGATACTTTCAAAAAATATCACTCCAGATTACAATTTATATTAAAAAAACAATCTGAGAATAAATTACATTTTTTGACACAACACTTATTAAATCGGTAATTATGCAGTTTAGCTCTTTTTAAAAATTAGCTATTTTAATTCACCTTTTTTTAAAAAACCTGTTTATTTTGTCAGTCTAATGAGGAATTAATCGGCTGAGCTCAAAAAATTACATGCTTCCCCCTTTTTTTAAAAAAAAAACGTAAAATGCAAAAATTTTCTATAATTATATTCAAGGGGTCTCCCGATCTCGATAATTTTTTAATATGTGGTAAAAAAGAAGATTTTAAACAACTTTTTCCTCTATACATAACGCCGTTGGAACTTAGTTTCTGAGATATTCGCGAAAAACTGTTGTTACTTATGTACTGAATCTTACCTATACGTGTTCCGCGGCAATCATTTTAGTACATGTTTAGTATAGAGAAGGATGCTCTGATGACCTTGATTTTGACATATGTTGTCAAAGACATGTTCCTAAGTAACAATCTAAAAGGTTTAGCCGTCGCTCATTTTTTATTAAAAAGTTATTAACAAAACATGGTTGAAAACCATGGTACTTAGTTTCAATAACATGTAGAATAACAAAATGAAATACAAGTATTTTCCCTTTCTTATCATATCTAAAATGACATAGCGGAATTTATTTTTCAGATTGTGTCCGATTGAGACTGTGTTCAATTACGTCTGTGTCCGTTCGCGACTGTCGTGTGTCCATTCCAACTCGTGTTTGATTGAAACTGTGTCCGATTGAGTCTGTGTCCGATTGATACACCCTGCCGTGTCTGATTGTTTCTGTGCGCATCGGGGACTTACCCAAAGTTTTCTCTTATACAGTTTTCTTCTGTAACCTCACTATATATTCATGTATGTAGAATTATTTCCAAGCTTCTGTACGTATTTACATTGAATTAGCGCACTAAGTACGACAAAAAAGAACATAATGAGACACTCAGATTATGATTTGACTAATTAATTAATGAGAAACATAAAAAAATTGCGATGACAAAATAGGTTATCATATGCTATCATTATGAAGGTAAATATGTATAAAAACGGAACACTCTCGGAGGTCATTGTCCTTAACATATGTTGTCAAGGACACCTCCCTGAACAACAATCTGAAGGTTTTAGCCGTTGCTCATTGTTTGTTAAAAAATTATAAACAAAAGAAATATCATCAATAAACTGTTATTTTCCGACACCGTGTACATTTTGTTAGTGTTGTAAGCAAGGGAGGGCTACGCTCCCCCGCAGGGGGAAGAACTTCGTCCCTCTCCCCTGCTCTCTCCTCACGAAAAAATTAAGAATTCAATTACGTGTCGCTTCATGTCAAGATTGTTTACTTGACATAAAGTGGAATATTACTTTGTATATCTCGCCAAAATTCTTTTGATGTTTTGCGTGTGACAATTAGTATGAGGATTTACGAAATTTTCTTTGTGATTTACTGTATGATGGGTATAACCTTGCATATTGATTGAGTAAACAATTATGACATGAAGCGACACTTGATTGAATTCTTCATTTTTTGTCTATATTATAATTATAAAACTAATTATTGAATAGAAATTAAATTTATATTTTATTTAATCTAATACCTTACATGAGCAATTAGATAGAATATTTTTATATTAATTCAACAAAATAAATAATATATTTTTTATATTAATAACATTAGGATTTGTTTTTCATTCTTATTAATTAAATATTATCTATAAATCAACCATTCCAGACTAATCCCAACACTTAACATTTTAAGTGCAACCCTTGACATTAAAAAAAATAAAGAAATTAAAAATATAAATAATGTATACATTAACACTTTACCGACCGGCCGTCGATTAATCGACGTTTTGTTCTCAGCGCCTACCGACCGGCCGTCGATTAATCGACGTTTTGTTCTCAGCGCCTACCGACCGGCCGTCGATTAATCGACTTTTGATCCTTCTGTTATATTTGGTTATGTTAGATTGACAAGTAACAAGCAGCAAGCATTTCGCATTCTTTATTCAGATAATCGGTGCTTTTTTCTAAGCTTTAGCCCTTAGAAATGAATAGAAAGAATAGTCTCGGCAAGTTTTATCTTGACGATCTGTCAGATTGTGTTGACTGCCGTTTAGCAAGTAAGACTGATGACGAAAGTGATAGCAGTAGTATAACCATTCGAAAGCGACGTCCTGTACCGCTAATATACAGTGATTCAGAAGACGAGGATATGAATAATAATATTGAAGACTACAATGATACATGGTCAACGAACGACAAGAGTATAATTTTGGAACCTTTCGAAGGCAGCCCTGGCGTGAAAATTGTGCCAAGGTCCTCCAAAAGCGTAATGGATATTGTGAATTTATTCATTGGAAGTGATCTGATTGAGCACTTCGTGAGGGAGTCTAATAGATATCATTATCAAATTGTGGAAAAATATAGAATTGTATCAAAAACGAAAAAATGGAAAGACGTCACGGTGACTGAAATGAAGAAATTTTTGGGCCTGATAATTCTCATGGGACAAGTAAAGAAGGAGGTTCTCTACGATTATTGGTCTACAGACCCATCTATAAAAACGCCGTTCTTCTCGAAGATTATGAGCAGGAACAGATTTTTACAAATAATGCAAAGCTGGCATTTTTGTAATAATAACGATATTTCTCCGAATCCGCATAGGCTGGTGAAGGTCCAGCCTGTCATTGATTATTTCAAGGAAAAATTTAACAACGTATATAAACCAGATCAACAATTGTCTCTAGATGAATGTGTAATTCCGTGGAGAGGTAGATTGTCAATTAAAACATATAATCCGACAAAAATTACAAAATATGGAATACTGGTTAGAATGCTGTCTGAAGCTCGTACAGGATACGTATCCAACTTTTGTGTGTATGCTGCTGATGGAAAAAAATTAGAAGAGACAGTATTATCGGTCATTGGACCGTATAAGAACATGTGGCACCATATATATCAAGATAATTACTATAATAATGTCAACATAGCTAACATTTATTTAAAAAATAAATTGCGAGTGTGCGGGACGATTCGAAAGAACAGAGGTCTTCCTCAAATACTTCAAACGGTCAAGCTTTCAAGAGGCCAACATCAATTTCTTAGAAATGGCCATATTTTATTACAAGTATGGAATAATGGGAAAAGGAATGTAAACATGATAACGACAATACATTCTGCACAAATGGCGGAATCTGGAAACAGAGGCAGGACATCAGATTGCCCCATACAGAAGCCTATTTCTGTAATAGATTACAATAAATATATGAAGGGCGTAGATCGCGCCGATCAATATCTGTCCTATTACTCCATTTTTAGGAAAACAAAAAAATGGACAAAACGTGTAGTAATGTTCTTCATCAATTGTGCACTTTTTAACTCCTATAAAGTATATACAACCCTGAACGGACAGAAAATTACATATAAAAATTTTCTGCACAAAGCGGCACTTTCCTTGATAGAAGACTGCGAAACTGAAGAACAAGGTGAGGATTTACCTAATTCCGAACCCACAAGAACCACATCCCGATTTGATCATCCCGGAAGACTGGCAAATTTCGGAAAGCATAAACTAGTAAATATAGTGACCAGCGGTCAATGTAAAAAACCCCTACGACAATGCAGAGTTTGTGCAAGTAAAAAAAAACTAAGCAGAACAGGTTTCGCTTGTAAATATTGCAACGTCCCACTACACAAAGGTGACTGTTTCGAGCGCTATCATAGTTTAGAAAAATATTAAACAACTTCTTTTTTCGATAAGTAATGTTATATGGATTATAGTATACTTTATGTAAATAATAAACTGAAAACGATTGTAATAGATAAAATAAATATTGTTTAACACTAATATGATTAAAGTAAAAAATTTTATTAAATTTCGTTACCCTAAAATAACACGAAGCGTACAATTTTACCAGAGTTTAAGAAAAGCGCATATATTCCCGCGCGTCGGTCTAGGCCGAAACTGAGCCGGTGTCTCGGACGATCTGCGGCTGAGCGGGCGGTGGAAGGGCATAGTTTGTTCGAACCGCTACCGGTCGGTAAAGTGTTAATATTAAATAAATACTTCAAAGCTCTAAATCTGAACATCTCTAACTCCACAAATTAATATTTTTATTAAACTACTTAAATAATAAAACATAATTTCATTTAAAAAATAATACATTTTTTCTCGAGGGGAAAGCAGGGGGGAGGGGCCCAGCCCCCCTGCCTACACGCTTACAACACGAACAAAACGTACACGGTGTCGGAAAATAAGAGTTCATTGATGATATTTCTTTTGTTTTTAATTTTTTAACGAACAACAAACGACGGCTAAAACCTTCAGATTGTTGTTTATGGAGGTGTCCTTGACAACATATTTCAAGGACAATGACCTCCGAGGGTGCTCCGTTTTTATACATATGTACCCATTATGAATAAAAAAGAGTTCAAAAGAGCATTATATACTCATTTTCAAAAGCACTTTGTAGTTTTTTATATTTATGTGCTTCTGTAGAAGCATTTTTCATGTAATGCAGTACACAAAATTAGAAATTAGAGAAATTTTTAAGAGGTTTCTAAAACGTCGATTTACGGGTCTTATAGTCGGTATCCAGTACCCTCTTAATACTGTGAACACTGGTTGACTTAATAGTTATTGGTGATAAATAGAGATTACTCTCAGGCTCAATAAGTCTTTTATAGTATATAGATATAAGGACATGAAGAGCCGTTCACAGGATGTTGTGCGTGAATGTGCTTAAATATATATATATATGTATACACATATATATTTTGAAATAATTTTTTTCTTTTATATAGGATGCTGGATTTGCATTACATGTATATGAAGGACCCCGTATACCCCCCTAACTAATTTTAAAATATTGCGAAAAAACTCCTCAGCCAGAAGTCGAACCTGGAATCTCCGGCTTTCCGAGCCGTCGCCTAACCCCGTATACTCCCCTTAGGGTCCTTCATATACATGTGATGCACAAATCTAGCATTCTATAATAGAGGAAAAAAATTATCTCGCAATATATATGTGTATACATATATATATATTTAAGCACATTCACGCACAACATCCTGCAAACGGCTCTTCATGTCCTTATATTCATATACTATAAAAGACTTATTGAGCCTGAGAGTAATCTCTATTTATCACCAATTATATTAGAATTTACGCTGGAGGAAGAAGCGGTATTAAAAAGATCTGAACATATTTGATAGATATACGAAGTATTGCGAGACAAACTCTAAGTGCCTCGGTAGCCTAACAGGGAAGGCGACGGCTCGGAAAGCCGGAAATTCCAGGTTCGACTTCTGGCTGAGGAGTTTTTTTCGCAATATTTTAAAATTAGTTAGGGGGGTATACGGGGTCCTTTATATACATGTGATGCAAATCCAGCATCCTATAGAAAGGAAAAAAATTATTTCAAAATATATATGTGTATACATATATATATATATATATATATATATATTGAAGCACATTTACGCACAACATCCTGCGAACGGCTCTTCATGTCCTTATATTCATATACTTTAATAGTTATTATTTGATATCTCTGTGTAGCACAGAAAATGTATTTAAAATCCGAAGTTACGCAAAACTTGTAAGTTTATATTAAAATTTATTATTTAGACAGGATAATAACTGTGTAATTTATGATATTTTAACTTATTTTTTTCTGAGATAATTTTTAATTTTTTAAAACACATTTAATGTGCCACTTTGAATAACTAAAATTTATTATTATAAGACGTCCCAGCTAACCAAAATTGACAAATCAAATAACTGAGTATTATTTATAGTATAGCTTACGTTATAAATAATATTATTTATAGTAACTTAAGTTACTATAAATAATACTTAGCTATTTGATAGTTTACATTCCACTTTTTTTAACTTATTGGGCATTGATGTCTGTAAGATATTTTGTAGTCATGCAGTGTGCCATACGTTAACAAAAAGGTAGAACATTACCCATCTACACAATAACTATTTGATTGATTGGGCTAGTAATACTCGAGTTATAGTTAACTTTTTGTCACCGTGTAGTCCTCTTAAAGTCAATTTATAGTCGACTCGTAGTCTATCTCTAGGTAACTCAAAGTCTACTTCTAGTCAACTTTAAGTTAACTTAAAGTCGGCTAATAGTCAACTTAGATAGTCAACTGACAGTCGACTCTTGACTTTTTCAGTCAACTTATAGTCAACTTTTAGTTGACTTTGTGTTGTTTGAGAATGTCCTTCTTTTGGCTTAGAGAGTGATGAGAATGGTAATTTAAATAGCGACCTGAGGATGTAGGTTTTTTTTTTAAATCAGTTGTAGATCAATGAGCCGTTATTTTTGATATAATAGTAAGGTCAGTAAAATTGAGATTACTACTAGAGCTAGGCTCGAGAGTGAACTGTAGTCGTGGGTGGTAGGAGTTGAAAGTATCTAGGACAACGTCGAATTTATCCACAGGAGCCATCATTGCAACATTATCCACATATTTTACGTACAGAGATGGGCAGAAATCAAAACTGCTAAAAGCAAATTCTTCTAAATCTTGCAACACAATCAGCTAAACTAGAGGAAAGGGGGAATTCATGGGTGCACCAAAGATCTGTTTATAAATTTTGTTGTTAAACAAGAAATAAGTGTTATCAAAGACTAACTTTAAGGCTATTAAAAATTCATCATGAGGAATTTTAATGTTATTTTTAATAAAAGACCATCTATTACTGACACTATTTACTGCAAAGTCAAGGTATGTTAGTGAAGAGCAAGGTATGTTAGTGAAGAGGGAGATCACGTCTAGAGAAATAAGGTCAAAATTATCATCGTAGGTGACATTGGAAATGATTTTGGATAGGTGAAAACTATTTTCAATGCTACTCGGTGGAGGAGTTAAACTACTATGGATAATTTTATGGAAGAATAGAGCAAAGTTATGCAATGGACTGTCTATAGAGGAGATAATAATTCTAAGTGGATTGTTAATTTTATGAATCATTGGTAACCCATAGGCCCTCAACAAAATAGCCAACGTTCTGTTAGGATAATCAAAAGCATTATCCGTGATATATCCGTGTAACTTCCATCTCTTAAGTAATTCTTTAAGGTTGTTTGAAATTCTACTGAAGAGATTGAGTTTTATTGAAAAGTAAGTACTCTGGTCAAACAAGAGAGCTTCCATATCACAGACTTCCATTATTTACGTTTTGTGTAATGTGAATAATTCTATTAAAGACTATAGTTGTTCTAGGGCAGTAGTGTATTGATAAAAAGAATCCTCTGATAATTTGAACTCCTAAAAATAGTTTTAGAAGCGACCCAAAATTTCATATAAATGAAATATTAATCGGGATGAGTAAGTTAAAAATTGCCGATTTAATTGATTTGACTATATTTTTATTTATAATTGATTTTACGTAGGGAGGCTGACTTTGTTGAAATAATCTTAATGATAGCAACTATTGATAATAAGAGTAAGGTTATTGATAGGATTGATATTGAATTAAATGGATAAAAGTAAAAAATTGATAAAAGTATATTTATCACAATTTATTCAAAACTACAACTAAAAAGGTAAATGTATCAAAATATCGAATGTTTATGGCGTGATATTTGGAAGGGAATTCTACGATACGGGACTCCACTTAAACACTATATGCATTGCATAGCGGAATTTATTTTCAAACATAAATATGCTTATCACTAATGGATTGATATGTTTTTCAATATTATGACTACCTTGTATCTATTAAATGAAAATAATATTCAATAAATGTATTGCGAACACAAAACGTTCATGTATTATATTCGTGTTATAAACGTGTAGGCAGGGAGAGGGCTATGTCTCCCGCAGGGGGAGTGGTTTTGTTCCTTTCCTTGCTCTCCTTGACTAGATCTAACACAAACCAATTTTAGGAAAAACTTAACTGAAATTAGGTTATTTTTCTTGGTGGGGTCAGGAAGAGGATCAAAGCCACTCTCTCTGCGGGGGACGTAGCCCTCCTCCTGCCTACACGCTTATAATACAAACAAAAATAACAGACAAAGTAGACTTAAGGTATCGAAAAACGAAAATTTCTTCAAGAAATTTGTTTTGTTTATAAAATTTTAATGAATAATAAGCGACGGCTAAGACCTTTACATTGTTATTTAGAGACATGTTCTTGACAACATATGTCAAGATCAAGGTCATCGGAGTATCCTCCCCTGTACTGAACATTTACCGTTATTTCTTGACGGGGGAAATTTTATTTATTTGAGTGTTTTCATGCTTGTTGATGACAAATATCATGTATTGTACAGTGAAGTGTCTAAAGTCACCGATTCAACATTCTTTTTTCGAATTTACTTTTAAAATATTTTGTGACTAGTCTCACATTATTTATTTAGATTTAAACTCTTCCTTTCTTGACATTAATTTTTTCTCTCTTTTATTTTGACTACTTTATATACCATCTATTTTAATTCTAGCCACACCATTCATTTTATTAATTTTTTTATTGACTCAGACGTGACTGATCACACTTTATTCCCACTGTCGTCACCATCTTTACAAGCTTTGTTTTTTTGTAAGTTACTAGTTACTGTCCGTATTAATTTTTTAATTTTATTGTATTCTAATTCAATATTTGCTGACATCTGCATATTTACTTTTTTAGCATCATATATAGTGTACCACTGAAGAAGATCTCAAGTGTAAATCAAAACGTCTGTTCAATTATCAATAAACTTCAATATACAAGATACA